CTCAGGGGCAGCTATCAAACCGTCTAGTAGCTGGTTCCCTCCAAAGTTTCCCTCAGGATAGCTGGAGCTGTTGAACAGTTTTTCTGAAGGGCAGCTACAAGCCCTATGCAGTGCCATATTCTCAGTTCAAGTTTCAAGAGTAGGGGATGGCGCTATGACGTTTGAAACTTTGAATCAGTTTGATTCTTTAGGGGTCATGCGAGGGCTGTTCGCCTGAGCCCTGTTCAGCAGGGACTTTGCGAGGGTTGTTGCAGTCATTACACCGGGACAACTAGTTTTAGGAAGTGAAATAGGAACTCTCTCAACAAGGAAACGGAGCTGTGGCTTTAAGGCTAAATTTTTTGCTTTTCAGGGAGGGGATAGTTCATAGACAAGCTGAATAGAAAAAAACATTGACAGATGGGGTGAGGTGAAGGCACCTATCTTTTGGACATAAAGAAAAGAAAGCACACAAGAACAGTGTGAGCTAGACATTTAAGTAAATTTAGTATGTATGTCGCATATGAGCAGATGGCCAATGGGAAAGTACATCACCTTATCGATTGTCTCCAGCATTTCTTGATTGACTTGCTGCTGCCCCGATAGGTTGAACCACACACATATCAAGCGGAAAACCTAGATAAAGGAAGTAATAAAATAAGAAAAGATTGCAGTCAACTCAAGAGGATAATGAGAAACCTGTCATAAATTAAACCATAAAGCATCCATTGCAGTAGTGACAAATGTACATGCTAATAATGCCACACTGACAGGCTATTACAGGGGTTCGAATCCCATCCATTCCTGGGAGGCATGACTGAGTTGAAGAAGGCGCTGGTTGCTATCTTTTTCTCTGTTCTGTGGCGGGTGTAAACCAAATTCTCTGTTCCTTAGCACGTGTAATCCAACAAGAAGAGTACATGCTTTCCAGGCACAAAGCTACTGGTTTAACCAAACTTAACCCTTTTACAGCCGATTGTCTCCAGCTTCACCAAACTGAAAGAGCTCCTTACCATATGGAGACAGAGCAAGACAGAGCAGACAAACTACCAGGCTATAAAAGAAACAGATTCCACATTCCCAGAATGTTGGGCTCACACGGGATCTGATCCCGAGACCAGGCCCAAGTGTGCACGAAAGATACTCCAAATCTACATCTGGGTCGGCCTTTAAGCCCGTGTAAACACCCTTCTGCTTCCCATCCATGGTTGCTGACTCCACCTCTGACCATCAGCCCGATTCGAGCCTAGGATCTACAAACAGGAATACTGTTAACTCCTCTTGGACACATAGGACATAGTAGGACCTGGACATCCGTCTCCTATCGGGAGAAACTGCGAAAAGAGAATGCGTACAAAGATTTCTTGCACACAAAATTTGTATTTGCATTGCAAGTTAGCCAGTCGTATCCTTGAGATCAGATGTCCCTCAACAGCCCATTTGTCGTGCATTCCTCTCTTCACAACGTGAGCTAACATTAATGCATTCAACCACAACACGCTGCGAACCGGGAAACACAGAGGCCGGACTTGTGAGCACGAAGAACCAGATATCAAGGAAACCAATTTCACTTCGACTACACAAAAGACAGTGCCGTAGCCCCCCCCCACAACCTCAAGCAGTTACCCCTGTGCCGCATTTCGATCACCACCACGTGATCATCATCCGGGGGCTTCTCCTGCAAACCACCCTTCTGCTTCGTCATCCATGGTTGCTGAATCCACCTCTGACCATCAGCCCAATTGAAACCTAGAGTCTACAAACAAGAATACTGTCGACTCCTCTTGGACACAGGAGTAGGACCTGGACATCCGTTTCTCTTATTTTGTTGTTCTTCAAGTGTGCTGATCAGCTTCTCATGGACACATAGGACCCTGCAGGACCTACACATCTAGAATTCTTTAGACAAACTTCACAGTGTTCTCAATACTCACAGCTGGAGCAGACTTTAACACTAGTCGTGGTATTCCACTTGCGCTGTGAAACTCCCACCCAAAAATAAAAATACAAAGAACAAAAGTATACCCCCTCCCCCCCTTTTCTGAATATCTCCCCCTTTTATGGCCAGGAGAACCCAGGAGTCTGGTCCTTTTTTTTCCCCCCCCTGATTTGTGAGGTGGAGCCAGGGCTTTGCCCCTGTTTGTTGATCCAAAATGGCAATATTCTGTGAATAACTAGGCTGGTCCCCGGGCCGCCCGGCGGCCTGGTGGTTGCCCAGGGGGGGCGCCGGGCCGCCTGGCCGGTTGTCCCGCCCGGTTGGCCACCGGGCGACCCCAGCGCATCCCAGAAGTGGGGGGGGGTTTCGGCCATTTTCGATGCGGGGGGCCTTCTTCCCCCCAAAGGAGGCCGTCCAGGCCAATAGAGTTGAAAAAAAAGGGCCGGTAGGCCCGATTTCAAGAATTCGAAATCGGGGCCCATCTGCGCCGTCAATCTCCAGGATCGACGGCCCAGATGGGCCGTGATTTCGAATCCCTGAGGGCGGGAACCACCGGCCCTCGTCCCCTCGTCCTCCTTTTCTTCTTCTTCCACATACACACCTGCAAGGTCTGTGACATACCAGCACTGACATTCCCCAGACCCCCCCAAGAGACCCCACTGACGTCCCTCCCCCAGCCCCCCCCCCCCAACCCGC